AGAATAATATGAAATGTAAAATGGTAAGGCAAAAACAAGGAATTCTAAATGGCATCTGCAGCTCCACCCTAGAAATCACCAGAGGTCACTGCCTTCTAGAAAGTCCAAAGATCCAGAAAGCTCCAACTGTTCCAGGTAAAAAGTTACCCAAGAAAAATGTTCAGGAACTGGAAGAATACAAAGGATAGGAAAAGGAGAAAAAATACAAGTATTCATACTTAAAAAGTGATCTGGAAGGCCGGCCCGTGGCTCACTCGGGAGAGTGCGGTGCTGATAACACCAAGGCCACGGGTTCGGATCCTACATAGGGATGGCCAGTTAGCTCAATGGCTGAGCGTGGTGCTCACAAGAGCAAGCCAAGGGTTGAGATCCCCTTATCGGTCATCTTTAAATAAATAAATAAATAAATAAATAAAAAGTGATCTGGAGAATAAAATTACAATGAGATACCATTGTTTTAACCCCATCATTTTGGCAGGGTGTGGGGAAACAGGCACAGCATTATTGCTAGTGGGGGTGTCCACAATGGAGGGTATACTCCAGGTTACCTAAGGATACACATACACTTTGACTCAGCAACTCCACTGCTAAGAATTTATCCTACGGGTACTCATACTTGCAAAATGATGTAAGGCTATTGGCTATGACTCTGTCTGAAACAGCAAAAGATGGGAAACGATATTAACACCATCAATAGGGGACTGGTTAAATAAATTTCAGTATACACAAACTACAGAATAGTAAGTAGCCAATAAAAATAATGAGGTAGCTGTATATATGGAACATTTCCTAAGTTAGACTGCTAGATCAAAAAGTAAAGGTAAAGCAGTGTGCTATCATTTTTGTAAACAGACGCATGTGCATATTGCTCGTACATGTACAAAGTTTTTCTGGAAGCACGCAAAGACAGTCTGGAGTTGTCTCTGGGAGGGGAATTGGTGGCTGAGGGACCAGACTTACTTTTAACTGAATACACTTCAGTACCATTTGAATGTATGATATTTACATGTTGTTATGGTCTAAAAGTGTCCCCTCAAATTTCATGTTGAAATACTCACCCCCAAGGTGGTGGTATTAAGATTATGAGGCCTTTGGGAGATGACTAGCTCATGAGAGCACAGCCCTGATGAATGGGATTAGTGCCATTAAAAAGGAAGCCTGAGGGAGCTTGTTCTTCCACCATGTGAGAACACAGTGAGAAAGCACCTTCCATGAACCAAAGTGGGCCTTCACCAGACACCAAAGCTGCTGGTGCCTTGATCTTGGATTTCCCAGCCTCCGAAAGTGTAGGAAATGTTTGTTGTTTATAGCCCACCTAGTTTATGGTATTTTTGTTATAGCAGCCCAGACTAAGACACATGTATTCAAATTAATTATTTTAAAGTACTCCCCAGGGATATAGAAATAAATTACGGGGTGGGGGTATAAAGCTGGGGAGATCTGTATTAGCCAGGGGTCTCCAAAGTGTACATGAACAGTAAAAACTTGAAGCATACACATGTCCAACATGTATATGTTGTTAAGCCATGGTAACTGCCATTTTTATAGATCAAAATGATTGAATATCAGCAATTTCTTATGGTTCAACCTAGTATTTATTATAAATTATCTACATGTACTTTTTTTTTTGTGACTGGCCAGAACAGGGCTTGAACTCTGGACCTGGGTGTGTTATCAGCACCATGCTCTAACCAACTGAGCTAACCAGCCAGCCCTATGTATATTGTATAACACATTCGAAGTGAGGAACTAAATAAGGCTGAGCCTGGAAGTGAATGTAAATTGAAGCCCTGATCTTTTCTTCACACACTCCCTGAGCCATCCTATACATCCTTTCCCTTTGAGACCAATGCTCTAGGTAAGGATCAGCATCAACTCCACCATAGCCCTCTTCACTGGTGACAAGTTTTATTCTACAGAAGCAATTTTTCAAAGTGAAAACTTGGTCTCATGGGCCGGCCCGTGGCTCACTCGGGAGAGTGTGGTGCTGATAACACCAAGGCCACGGGTTCGGATCCCATATAGGGATGGCCGGTAAAACTTGGTCTCATGGGCCGGCCCGTGGCTCACTCGGGAGAGTGTGGTGCTGATAACACCAAGGCCACGGGTTCGGATCCCATATAGGGATGGCCGGTAAAACTTGGTCTCATGGGCCGGCCCGTGGCTCACTCGGGAGAGTGTGGTGCTGATAACACCAAGGCCACGGGTTCGGATCCCATATAGGGATGGCCGGTAAAACTTGGTCTCATGGGCCGGCCCGTGGCTCACTCGGGAGAGTGTGGTGCTGATAACACCAAGGCCACGGGTTCGGATCCCATATAGGGATGGCCGGTTTGCTCACTGGGAGAGCGTGGTGCTGACAACACCAAGTCAAGGGTTAAGATCCCCTTACCGGTCATCTTTAAAAAAAAAAAAAAAAAGAAAAGAAAACTTGGTCTCAAATCATGAAGCTTACCACTTAGAGAATTCAAACATAACACTAATTTAGACTGACACATAACTGAAAATCCCAATCCCCCCTTCTCATTATCACTGCATCTTACTTGCACATCACCTTCCTAGGCACTGAATGTGACACCATCTTGGGAGATTTAAATGAGTACAAAGCATAATCCCACACTCTCGCCACACTTCACCCAATCCAGTGCAGTGCCCCTATAATTGGGGTTTCAGATGTTAATGTGTTTGTTTTTGGTGGCTGGCCGGTACAGAGATCCGAACCTTTGACCTTGGTGTTACAAGGCAGAGCTCTAACCAACTAAGCCAACCAGCCAGCCCAGCTGTGAATTTTTAAGTGTAATAATGCCTTAGTAATTTGAAGTAAGGATGAGGGACAGAGAAGTCATAATAAATGCAAGAACTAAGTCATAAGTATGTTTCAAACAACATAATTAACTACTTTCAAGTTTAAGCTATTTAACATTCATTTTAATTCTCTTATTTAGTGCATAGGTCAAGACATCAAGAATACTCTTTCCAGAATACTTACAAAGTACTTACATTACTCCAGCACCCAAAGGCTCAAGCTTGGAGGTGGAAATAATTCTGATGCCAGCTTCCTATGCTTTCAAAGCAAGGGATTTTCTTCTAAGCAAACAGTATAATCTCAATTGTGGGAAGAACATTTAACCTATATCATTACTGATCAATTTCTTACAGTGCTCCAAGGTCCCTTAAGATATATGGCCTCTCCTGATCATTACAGCACCTTTGTAGTCCATGCTCTCAACCCACACTGGTCCTGTCCAAATTCATAAGCTTCCCTACAGTCCCTCCATTAGGCTCCAACGGCTTCTTTGTGGGTTGTTCCTGCTGTCCCTCTTCAATTTGTAGGGCCTGATGGTGTGTAGAACATTTCAAGTTTAAACAGAATGAACTATTTCCTCAGCCTATATGGCCTCTCCTGATCATTACAGCACCTTTGTAGTCCATGCTCTCAACCCACACTGGTCCTGTCCAAATTCATAAGCTTCCCTACAGTCCCTCCATTAGGCTCCAACGGCTTCTTTGTGGGTTGTTCCTGCTGTCCCTCTTCAATTTGTAGGGCCTGATGGTGTGTAGAACATTTCAAGTTTAAACAGAATGAACTATTTCCTCAGCCTATATGGCCTCTCCTGATCATTACAGCACCTTTGTAGTCCATGCTCTCAACCCACACTGGTCCTGTCCAAATTCATAAGCTTCCCTACAGTCCCTCCATTAGGCTCCAACGGCTTCTTTGTGGGTTGTTCCTGCTGTCCCTCTTCAATTTGTAGGGCCTGATGGTGTGTAGAACATTTCAAGTTTAAACAGAATGAACTATTTCCTCAGCCCCTGGAAGAGTCTACTTGAGACTCCCCATGAAGCTTTGTACAGGCACCATCCTCTCAGTGTAAGACAAAAAAATGTAACTAAAAAGAGCCTGGAGTTTTTTTGTTTTTTTTTTTTTTTTTATGTCTTGTAACTACCAAAATGAGCAAAGGACAACCTATTCTCATCTTAGGAAGAAAGATAAAGCAGAGAAAAACAAATTTACTGAGATGGCAGAGATAAATTAGTATGGCTCCCCTCAGTCCTCCCACTCCATCTTTGGTCCCTCTGAATTACAAGAAAGAGAAGAAAGAAGGACATATCACGGGCAGTCAAATTCTTTTAATTTAAACCAATTCATTTTCTGTCCCTATGACCTATGGCAAAGTACTGTTCTAAACCCAACTAAACTGGTAAAGGCATGCCCAGAAGGAAGCACCTTCTCAGTGGTACTGGCAGTCATTCCAGTTCAGGGATAGCTGATGAGGGCCACTAAGATGGGAGGATGCAGGCCACCCAGCCGACTATCTCTACCAAATGTTATAGATGGGCAATTAATATGTCCCTCCATTTTAGCACATTTGTTCTTTTGATCAATGACTTGATCAAAGTCATTACCTCATCCTCTTTCAAAATCAAGCAAACTGAATTGACAACCACAGTTAAATATCACAAGCATGGTAGGCAGAGTATCCTTGGTGCCTTTTTCTAAGCCACCTCCATGTAGGGAACTTAAGCAATCTCTCAGGACTTGAATATCTCTAGTACACCTGGCCAACATCCAGGAAAACTGGAAGTTCCCCTAATCAGTGATTAAACTTTATAGAGAACGTAAGTATAAAGCAAGTAGCCTATCTCTTAGCCTGTCCTATAATCATTATATATACACACGAGTGTATTCATATACATAGATATGTCTTTAAAGAATACATCATTTTAAGAGCAGCACTACTATATCTCTAGCAAATGCTAAATAAACCATGAGTCATAAATACTTTAATGTCTGCGGTATGCTGTTCTCAAAATTAAGGAAACTTCAGATACCCCATTCATTCCTTCCAGAAAATGAGACAAACTAACGAAGAAGGATAAAGAATGCTTATGTTTTTGTTTTTTTTTAAGAAACAATCTAAAGAAAAGAAACTATTTCCTTAAAAACCCTGACATTGGAGTTTCTCTATCAAAAACATAGTCAAAGACACCTAAATAGACAGAGTCAAAAAAAAAAAAATTTATTAGAGAACAAGAGTGAGAGCTTTTGCACATCTGACAAGGTAAACTTGTTTTGTTAATAGATGCCATCCATATTCAGCTCTACCAATATTATCACAAATGGAACATATTTTCTCTTACAAAGATAATGGCATAAGTAAGGGACTATGACTAAATAGAATCAAAGGAAAGGTGAGACCCTAAATCTTATGCCCTAGACTGATCCATAACATAGGACTTAATTCAAACCATTTAATCTTCTAATGCAGTGGTTTTCAACTTGGCTTCTTATCAGAATCCCAGGGACTCTTTGAAAGGAAATCCCTTAATTAGGCTGCATCTCAGAGTCTGTGGGGGTAGAACCCAGGCATCAGTATTTTTTTAAGCTTCCCAGATGATTCCAATGTTCAGCCAAAGTAGATCACCACTGCACTAGAGGCAGGTAAAAACTATCAGCAAGTTCCTCGGCCCATCAATACCTGCAAGGAAGGGGGTCTATTGAGCAACACTGGCTCTCACTAGTGTTATCTTTCACTCCATTCAAGAACTCCATGTTATCAGTTTTTGGTGTAATTTTAAGTCGTTCCATATGCCTTGATGATTGTTAGAGCAATATTTAATCAGACAAATACGAGCAAAGAGAGAAAAGATGGAAAAAGAAATTTCCATAAGGCATGATATGAATAAATAAAATAAGTGAAAAAACAATCTCAGGTTTAAAAGTAAAACATGAGAAGTCAAAGCCTATGAAATTTTATTTATACAAAAGAATTAAAATATCTATTTTAAAATGACTGATTGATTTAAACTTATGTTTTTCAGTTTTTCCTGTTCCTTGAACATAAAATTGCTTCCAACTGAGATTTAAGATAGGTAATTATTAAATAAACATACTTTACCTTCTCCTTGCAAAAAAACAAAGAGCCAAGTTCCTCATTTTACTTATGGTAAACCAGATTATTTTCAGTTAAGAATACTGGCAACTGCAAGAAGCAGATTATCAGATATGTCAGCAGGAAGGTATGAGCTGTACAAAGGCATTACAAAAAGTCCCCAAAGAAAATAAGATGGTAAAAACAATAGAAAAATAATAAAACACAAAACAAAATAAGAAAACGTTAGATATTTACAGCCTCCATTTGAAATGTGACTTGTGTTCTACTTTCAGCATAAAACAAAACCAGAGAACATTTCTTGATAGGTATCATAGATGAAGCTGGTGCTAGCCAGTTTGGGGGGGAGACATTCATTCTAAGAAGGGAGAAATGCACAGTTAGCAACTTGCTGGGATTATAACCATGTTTTGGTCTTCCTGCAGTTCTGCTACTAAAAATGACACAAAGTAAACGATCTGATGTCTTATAGAAATGACTTGTCAACCACATTTAGAATAAACTACTCAGAGATACAGGCACTGGGGGAGAGCAGAGGTGGATGGCCACGCACTCAGATGAGGGATGTTTATCTTTGTGAGGTCGGAGAAGGGAAGCAGGGCTCTACAGCCTGGAAGATTCTGCACTAATGAGTCTTCTAATAGTCCTAAAGAGAGAAAAACAAAAGTCCCAACTTACTCTCAGCAGAACATGGTTTAATGCCTAAGGAAAAAAATCTCATAAACAACTCTGCTAGGGGATTGTTCTGTAGCTAAAGATTCTATTTCATATGTAATGTACAATATTCCACATCTTAAGATGGTCCATCTTCTGAGTCCATAAAAGGATTGAAACATCAATTCTGCTCTTATTAGACCACCTGAATTCATCAGGGAAAAAAATTAATCAAAGGGAATTTTTCTCCAAAAACGTGTGTGACCTTTTTCTCTCTCCAAAACATAAAAAAAGTAAATAACACCTAAAAATTTGAAGTGTACCCAGACAGACATCCCAGACTTTAAAACAAGAGTTGTGACCCCAGATTAGGAAAACTCAAACTCTGAAGACTAATACATTTTTCAAATCATCTACAAAACTACCAACCTCTCTGACATGGTCTGGCTGATACTTACAGCTCGTGGTTTTTTGTTTAACTTCAGATCAATCCTGTGATAGGAAAGATAAAAGATATTTGCATTTTAATTTACAGAAAAAGGGTCCAACAATTAGCTACTGCATAGGGCACAAGCTATAACAAAGACTATTTGGTTAAGTAAAATCCACATTCTTCATTAAACTATGTCATATTTAGTTGTTTTCCCAGATAGTATTAAGGAAGTATTAAAAAATATGAGCAGATACTCTTGCCATAAGGCAAACTTAGATGACTCAAAAAGAAATATACAGCAGTTATGAAAGCCATATAATTTTTTTAAACTATTCCAAAATTACATTAAAGAGATTGGATTAAGAGGGCATGCTCTACGTTAATGTGTTAGCTCTGTAACTATGTCACTGAAAATTACTGAGACACATGACTAATTAAGAACAGGAAATAGACTAGAGCTCATATTTCTGGACATAAAACACAAAAGAAATTAAATGAATTTCAATGTTTAAATCTTTCCAAATCAAAATATCAAGATCTTAAACTATTAATCTCCTTATCAAGCAAAGCCAGAAAATCAATTTAAATATGAATTAAAGTAAAGGATATCTATTTTAAAAGAAATTAAAATGCATAAAAGTGAAGTTTACTTAATTTTGCTTAAGTTATTAAATAAAATGTTACCTCCATCACGTTTTTCTGTTTTTAAAAAAAACTTCCCAGCCTAACCTAATATACATACCTACAATTAAACAGATAAACTATGGGTTAGAAAGATCTCAAAAAGGCATACTGGTGTCTACACACTAAACAACACAGCACAAATACTAATTCAAATCAAACTTACTCAAAGTCATAATCAAACATGCCAGACGGGCTGAGGGGCAGCATTTGAAAGGAAGAAAGCAATAGAAATTAATATACTAATTTAATAAATTAGTCGATTAGCCACCCTAGCCAGATTTGTAGAAACAAAATCAGCTTTAAGAATCTTAAGCCATAAAGTTTCAAACATCAAAGCACCAAAGATTTTGTGGTCAGAAGAGATTCCCGTCCCTCAAAGAATTTCATAATTTCTTTTTTTTTTTTTAAAGATGACTGGTAAGGGGATCTTAACCCTTGGCTTGGTGTTGTCAGCAGCACTCTCAGCCAGTGAACGAACCGGTCATCCCTATATGGGATCCGAACCCATGGCCTTGGTGTTATCAGCACCACACTCTCCCGAGTGAGCCATGGGCTGGCGCAGAATTTCATAATTTCTGAATTTCATATCAGAAAAATAGACTATGAAAGGAAAAGTTATTTCATTAGAAAACTACAGATACCTGGAATACTTCTATTAGCTGCCAGATTTAGAGTTAGAACTTCTAAATATTAATTATATTGAAAAATATAATTAGGGCATTAGAAGAAACAGAGGAAGAAAGGTTTAGTCATATAATGAAAGGCGCTTTGAAGACAGTACTAACAATTCAGCATAATATATGTTCACTAAAATAAAAGATGACAGAAACATTGTAAACCTTAAAAAAGGAAAACATTTAACAACTTTTACTCAAGTTATATGTTCTAAACGTATCCAGGGAACATGGTGCTCCTTTTCTACAGTACTCATTCTAGAAGCCAAGGGTTGGCTAGAATGAACTTCAGTGGTAGAGTCATCTTCCAGAAACTAAACAGCAATACTACTCTACCCCAGGAGTTGGTGATGGTAGTTAACTGTTTATGTCAGGGCTACAATTAAGAAACACCAAAGTCTGCAGAACCCCTGTTAAAACAAAGGAAAGTTGACATCCACAAGCACCCAAGCCTTGGGGATCAGGATGCGAGCAGCACAGGGGAGGAGGCCCTTTTGTGCCATCGCTGCTAACAAATCATAGTCTGGGCAGACCTCCAAAGCAAATATCACCTGGAGCATGAGAGCAGCTCCTTAGCTGGCTCTAACGCCTTTCAGACTGTAGAAAGGTGGTAAAACAATATGCAAATGGCTGCATTTTCTTCTTAAACAATGTTTGCTAGAGTGAAGCTGGAAGAAAGCTGAACTTCAATATCCCTTATGCAATGGTTTCACTTAAGAAATTTGGGAGAGTATATTGTTAGTGTACAAACCAGGAAATATCAAATATTTCACTTTCAGCCTGACTTCGTTCACAAAGTGGTATATAAAGTGGTGGTGTAGGGTGGTAGAAAAAAGAAAAGAAAAGGAAAAAAAAAAAA